TTTGCCGGAAAAGCGCAAATTCAAATTTTTTCATTTTTTTACTGTTCCACTGTCAAATAAGAGGAAACTACCAAAATATTCAGGTGAGTTCAAAACCTCAATTAGAGTGAAACAAAGTTTTCATGATTTTTTTCAAAGTTTTGATGAAAAAATTGGATTGAAGAGCCAAACTTTTTTCAAACGATTAAACTACTGTAAATCAAGCATCGCTGGTTCAGTGGTAGAATTATCGCCTGCCAAGCGATAGACAAGGGTTCTATTCCCGGCCGATGCATAGCAGGAAAAAATTCCTAGGAAAGAACAGTCTTAAACTTTTGTAACTTTTTACTGTTCCAATTTGAAAAAAAGGAAAACTACTCAAATAATTATCTGTATTTTAAGTCTCAAATGAATTGAATCTTTCAAGATTTTGATTCAAAATATTGTTAAAAAATTTTAATGAAGGGCAAAGTTTTTGTTCAAATGGTGATCATTTTTATTCAAGCATCAGTGGTTCAATGGCAGGATTGTCGCCTGCCAAACAATATACCCGTGTTCGAGTCCCGGCCGATGCAGCGCAGAGAGTTATACTAGAAAAGCAAAGCTTTATACTTTTGTAATTTTTACTGTCCACTGTCAAAAAGAGGAAAAATACTGAAATATTCAGCTGAATTCAAAACCTCAATTAGAATGAAACAAAGTTTCCATGATTTTGTTTGAAGTTTCGATGAAAAGATTGGATTGAAGAGCAAAAATTTATTCAAACTATCAAAACAGGTTACATCAAGCATCGGTGGATCAGTCGTTAAATTGTCGCCTGCAACGCGATAGACCCAATTTCGATTCCCGTACGATGCAAAGCAGAAAAGCAGAAACATTTTGCCGGAAAAGCGCAAACTTAACTTTTTGCAAATTTTTTCTGTTCCATTGTCAAAAATGAGGAAAACTACTCAAATAAATAGCTGAAGTTCAAAACTCAAATGAAGTGAATCATTCATGATTTTGATTCGAAAATTTGGTGAAAAATTGAAATGAAGAGCAAAGTTTTTGTTCAAACGATTAAAACAGATAAAAAATCAAGCATCGGTAATTCAGTTGCATTGTCGCCTTCCACGCGATCGACCATGAATCGATTCCCGGGCGATGCAAAGGAGAAAAGCAGAAAAGCAGAAAAAATTTTCTAGAAAAGCGCAATTTTACGTTTTCTCATTTTTTTACTGTGCCACTGTCAAAAAAGAGGAAAACTACTCTAATAATTAGCTGAATTCGACACCTCAATTAAAATGAAACAAAGTTTTCAGTATTTTGAATCAACGATTTGATGAAAAACTTGGATGATTGAGCAAAACTTTGCTGGAACGATTATAGCAGTTGAATCAAGTGTCGATGGTTCAGTGATAGAATTGTCGCCTGCCACGCGATAGACCCGGGTTCGATTTCCGGCAGATGCAAACAGCAAAGCAAAACATTTGCCGGAAAAGCGCAAACTTAAATTTGTTGCATTTTTTTACTGTTCCACTGTCAAAAAAGAGGAAACTACCAAAATATTCAGCTGAATTCAAAACCTCAATTAGACTGTAACAAAATTTTCATGATTTTGTTCAAAGATTTGATGAAAAAATTAGATTGAAGAGCAATTTTGTTCAAACGATTAAAATATTGTAAATCAAGCATCGCTGGTTGAGTGTTAGAATTGGCGCCTGCCACGCGATAGACCCGGTATCGATTCCCGGCCGATGCATAGCAGAAAAAATTTCCTAGTAAAGAGCAATCTTAAAGTTTTGTAACTTATCACTGTTCCATTGTCAAAAAAGAGGAAAAATGCTCAAATGAATTGAATCATTCATGATTTTGATTCCTAATATTGTTTAAAAAAATGAAATAAAGGGCAAAGTTATTGTTCAAACGGTGAACAACTTAATTCAAGGATCAGTGATTCAGTGGTAGGGTTGTCGCCTGCCAAGCAATATACCCGTGTTCGAGTCCCAGCCGATGCAGCGCAGAGAGTTTTACTAGAAAAGTGCAAGTTTAAAATTCTGTAATTTTTACTGTCCACTGTCAAAAAGAAGAAAAATACTGAAATATTCAGCTGAATTCAAAACCTCAATTAGAATGAAACAAAGTTTTCATGCTTTTGTTTGAAGTTTTGATGAAAAGATTGGATTGAAGAGCAAAACTTTGTTCAAACTATCAAAACATTTTACATTAAGCATCGGTGGTTCAGTCGTAGAATTGTCGCCTGCCACGCGATGGACCCGATTTCGATTTCCGTCCGATGCAAAGCAGAAAAGCAGAAAAATTTTGCCGGAAAAGCGCAAACTGAAACTTCTGCAACTTTTTACTGTTCCACTGTCAAAAAAGAGGAAACTACTGAAATAATCAGCTGAATTCAAAACCTCAATTAGAATGAAACAAAGTTTTTATGATTTTGTTTGAAGTTTTGATGAAAAGATCGGATTGAAGAGCAAAACTTTGTTCAAACTATCGAAACATATTACTTCAAGCATCGGTGGTTCAGTCGTAGAACTGTCGCCTGCCACGCCATAGACCCGATTTCGTTTCCCGTCCGATACAAAGCAGAAAAGCAGAAAAATTTTCCTAGGAAAGCGCAAAGTTAAATTTTTTCAACTTCCTACTGTTCCACTGTCAAAAAAGAGGAGAACTAACAAATACAAAAAAGAGGAGACTTTTACAACTCAAATAAAATAGGTCATTCAGGGTTTTGATTCGCAAGTTTGGTGAAAAATTGAAATGAAGAACAAAGTTTGTGTTCAAACGATTAAAACAGATAAAAAATCAAGCATCGGTGGTTCAGTTGTAGCATTGTCGCCTTCCACGCGATAGACCATGGTTCAATTAAAAAATTTCTAGAAAAGCGCAATTTTGCGTTTTTTCAATTTTTTACTGTGCCACTGTCAAAAAAGAGGAAAACTACTCAAATAATTAGCTGAATTCAACCTCAATTAGAATGAAACAAATTTTTCATGATTTTTTTTCGAAGTTTCGAAGAAAAAATTGGATTGAATAGCAAAACTTTATTCAAACGATTAAAATGGAGAAAATCAAGCATCGGTGGTTCAGTGGTAGAAATGTCGCCTGCCATGCGATAGACCAGGGTTCGTTTCCCGGCCGTTTCATAGCAGAAAAAATTTCCTAGGAAAGAGCGGTCTTAAACTTTTGTAACATATTACTGTTCCACTGTCAAAAAAGAGGAAAATACTCAAATAAATAGCTGTATTTTAAAACTCAATTGAATTGAATTATTCATGATTTTGATTCAAAATATTGTTAAAAAATTGAAATGAAGGGCAAATTTTTTGTTCAAACGGTGAACACTTAAATTCAAGCATCAGTGGTTCAGTGGCAGGATTGTCGCCTGCCAAGCAATTTACCCGTGTTCGAGTCCCAGCCGATGCAGCGCAGAGAATTTTACTAGAAAAAGACAAGTTTAAACTTTTGTAGTTTTTACTGTCCACTGTCAAAAAGAGGAAAAATACTGAAATAATCGACTGGATTTAAAAACTCATTACATTAGAATGAAAAAATTTTTTTTTAAATGATTTTGTTCGAAGTTTTGATGAAAAGATTGGATTGAAGAGCAAAACTTTCTTAAAACTATCAAAACCGATTACATCAAGCATCGATGGTTCAGTCGTATAATTGTCGCCTGCCACGCGATAGATCCGATTTCGATTTCCGTCCGATGCAAAGCAGAAAACGGAAAATTTGCCGGAAAAGCGCAAACTTAAACGTTTGCAACTTTTTACTGTTCAACTGTCAAAAAAGAGGAAGGTACTGATATATTCAGCTGAATTCAAAACCTCAATTAGAATGAAACAAATTTTTCATGACTTTGTTCAAAGTTTTGAAGAAAAAAATGGATTGAAGAGCAAAACTTTGCTAAAACGGTTAAAATAGTGTAAATCAAGAATTGCTGATTCAGTGGTAGAATTGTCGCCTGCCAGGCAATAGACCCGGGTTCAATTCCCGGCCGATGCATAGCGGAAAAAAATTCCTAGGATAGAGCAGCCTGAAACTTTTGTAACTTATTACTGTTCCACTGTCAAAAAAGAGGAAAACTCCTCAAATAATTAGCTGAAGTTCCGATGAAAAAAAATGGATGATAGAGCAAAACGATTATAGCAGTTTAAACCAAGCATCGGTGGTTCAGTGGTAGACTTGTCTCCTGCCAAGCAAAATACCCGTGTTTTAGTCCCGGCTGATGCAGCGCAGAGAGTTTTACTAGAAAAGCGCAAATTTAAACTTTTGTAATTTTTCACTGTCCACTGTCAAAAAAAGGAAAAATACTGAAATATTCAGCTAAATTCCAATTAGAATGAAACAAAGTTTTAATGATTTTGTTCGAAGTTTTAATGAAAAAATTAGATTGAAGAGCAAAACTTTGTTCAAACTATCAAAACAGAGTACATCAAGCATCGGTGGTTCAGTCGTAGAATTGTCGCCTGCCACGCAACAGGCCCGGGTTCGATTTACGGCCGATACATAGCAGAAAAAATTTCCTAGGAAAGAACAGTCTTAACCTTTTGTAACTTATTACTGTTCAACTGTCCAAAAAAGAGGAAAACGACTCAAATGAATTGCTGTATTATAAAACTCAAATGAAATGAATCATTCGTAATTTTGATTCGAAAATTTGGTGAAAAATTGAAATGAGGAGCAAAGTTTTTGTTGAAACAATTGAAAAAGAAAATCAAGCATCGGTGGTTCAGTTGTAGCATTTTCGTCTTCCACGCTGTAGACAATGGTTCGATTACCGGGCGATGCAAAGCAGAAAAGCAGAAAATTTTTCTAGAAAAGCACAATTTTACGTTTTTTCAATTTTTTACTGTGCCACTGTCAAAAAAAATCTGAAAACTACTCAAATAATTAGCTGAATTTGAAACCTCAATTAAAAAATTAAAATGAAACAAAGTTTTCATGATTCTGATTCAAAGCTTCGTTGAAAAAAATTGGATCATAGCGCAAAACATTGCTGGAACAATTATAGCAGTTTAAATCAGGCATCGGTGGTTCAGTGGTAGAATTTTTGCCTGCCACGCGATAAACCCGGGTTCGACTCCCGGCTGATACATAGCAGAAAAAATTTCCCAGGAGAGAACAGTCTTAAGCTTTTGTAACTTATTAATGTTCTACTGTCAAAAAGAGGAAAACTACTAAATAGCTGTATGTTAAATATGTTAAAGAAATAAATAGCTGTATGTTAAAACCCAAATGCGATGAATCATTCATGATTTTGATTCAAAAATTGGGTGAAAAAATGAAATCAAGAGCAAAAGCTTTTCTCAAACGATTTAGACAGACAAAAATCAAGTATCGGTGCCACGCGATAGACCCGATTGTCGCCTGCCACGCGATAGACCCGATTTCGATTTCCGTCCGATGCAAAGCAGAAAACAGAAAATTTGCCGGACAAGCGCAAACTTAAACGTTTGCAACTTTTTACTGTTCAACTGTCAAAAAAGAAGAAGGTACTGAAATATTCAGCTGAATTCAAAACCTCAATTAGAATGAAACAAATTTTTCATGATTTTGTTCAAAGTTTTGAAGAAAAAAGTGGATTGAAGAGCAAAACTTTGTTCAAACGATTAATAAAGTGTAAATCAAGCATCGGTGGTTCCGTGGTAGAATTTTTGCCTGCCACGCGATAAACCCGGGTTCGACTCCCGGCTGATACATAGCAGAAAAAATTTCCCAGGAGAGAACAGTCTTAAGCTTTTGTAACTTATTAATGTTCTACTGTCAAAAAGAGGAAAACTACTCAAATAAATAGCTGTATGTTAAAACCCAAATGCGATGAATCATTCATGATTTTGATTCAAAAATTGGGTGAAAAAATGAAATCAAGAGCAAAAGCTTTTCTCAAACGATTTAGACAGACAAAAATCAAGTATCGGTGCCACGCGATAGACCCGATTGTCGCCTGCCACGCGATAGACCCGATTTCGATTTCCGTCCGATGCAAAGCAGAAAACAGAAAATTAGCCGGACAAGCGCAAACTTAAACGTTTGCAACTTTTTACTGTTCAACTGTCAAAAAAGAGGAAGGTACTGAAAAATTCAGCTGAATTCAAAACCTCAATTAGAATGAAACAAATTTTTCATGATTTTGTTCAAAGTTTTGAAGAAAAAAGTGGATTGAAGAGCAAAACTTTGTTCAAGCGATTAAAATAGTGTAAATCAAGCATTGCTGATTCAGTGGTAGAATTGTCGCCTGCCGGGCAGTAGACCAGGGTTTAATTCCCGGCCGATGCATAGCAGAAAAAAATTCCTAGGATAGAGCAGTCTGAAACTTTTGTATTTTATTACTGTTCCACTGTCAAAAAAGAGGAAAACTACTCAAATGAATTGCTGTATTATAAAACTCAAATGAAATGAATCATTCATAATTTTGATTCGAAAATTTGGTGAAAAATTGAAATGAAGAGCAAGGTTTTTGTTGAAACAATTGAAAAAAAAAAATCAAGCAGCGGTGGTTCAGTTGTAGCATTTTCTTCTTCCACGCGGTAGACAATGGTTCGATTCTCGGGCGATGCAAAGCAGAAAAGCAGAAAATTTTTCTAGAAAAGCACAATTTTACGTTTTTTCAATTTTTTACTGTGCCACTGTCAAAAAAGAGGAAAACTACTCAAATAATTAGCTGAATTCGAAACCTCAATTAAAAAATTAAAATGAAACAAAGTTTTCATGATTCTGATTCAAAGCTTCGTTGAAAAAAATTGGATCATAGCGCAAAACATTGCTGGAACAATTATAGCAGTTAAAATCAGGCATCGGTGGTTCAGTGGTGGAATTTTTGCCTGCCACGCGATAAACCCGGGTTCGATTCCCGGCTGATACATAGCAGAAAAAATTTCCCAGGAGAGAACAGTCTTAAGCTTTTGTAACTTATTAATGTTCTACTGTCAAAAAAGAGGAAAACTACTCAAATAAATAGCTGTATGTTAAAACCCAAATGCGATGAATCATTCATGATTTTGATTCAAAAATTGGGTGAAAAAATGAAATCAAGAGCAAAAGCTTTTCTCAAACGATTTAGACAGACAAAAATCAAGTATCGGTGCCACGCGATAGACCCGATTGTCGCCTGCCACGCGATAGACCCGATTTCGATTTCCAACCGATGCAAAGCAGAAAACAGAAAATTTGCCGGACAAGCGCAAACTTAAACGTTTGCAACTTTTTTCTGTTCAACTGTCAAAAAAGAGGAAGGTACTGGAATATTCAGCTGAATTCAAAACCTCAATTAGAATGAAACAAATTTTTCATGATTTTGTTCAAAACCGCAATTAGAATGAAACAAATTTTTTTTGATTTTGTTCAAAGTTTTGAAGAAAAAAGTGGATTGAAGAGCAAAACTTTGTTCAAACGATTAAAATAGTGTAAATCAAGCATTGCTGATTCAGTGGTAGAATTGTCGCCTGCCGGGCAATAGACCCGGGTTCAATTCCCGGCCGATGCATAGCAGAAAAAAATTCCTAGGATAGAGCAGTCTGAAACTTTTGTAACTTATTACTGTTCCACTGTCAAAAAAGAGGAAAACTACTCAAATAATTAGCTGAATTTCCGATGAAAAAAAATGGATGATAGAGCAAAACGATTATAGCAGTTTAAATCAAGCATCGGTGGTTCAGTGGAAGACTTGTCTCCTGCCAAGCAATATACCCGTGTTCTAGTCCCGGCCGATGCAGCGCAGAGAGTTTTACTAGAAAAGCGCAAATTTAAACTTTTGTAATTTTTACTGTCCACTGTCAAAAAAAGGAAAAATACTGAAACATTCAGCTAAATTCCAATTAGAATGGAACAAAGTTTTCATGATTTTGTTCGAACTTTTGATGAAAAGATTGGATTGAAGAGCAAAACTTTGTTCAAACTATCAAAACAGAGTACATCAAGCATCGGTGGTTCAGTCGTAGAATTGTCGCCTGCCACGCGATAGACCCGGGTTCGATTTACGGCCGATACATAGCAGAAAAAATTTCCTAGGAAAGAACAGTCTTAACCTTTTGCAACTTATTACTGTTCAACTGTCAAAAAAGAGGAAAACGACTCAAATGAATTGCTGTATAATACAACTCAAATGAAATGAATCATTCATAATTTTGATTCGAAAATTTGGTGAAAAATTGAAATGAAGAGCAAAGTTTTTGTTGAAAAAATTTTTAAAAAAATAAAAATCAAGCATCGGTGGTTCAGTTGTAGCATTTTCGTCTTCCACGCGGTAGACAATGGTTCGATTCCCGGGCGATGCAAAGCAGAAAAGCAGAAAATTTTTCTAGAAAAGCACAATTTTACGTTTTTTCAATTTTTTACTGTGCCACTGTCAAAAAAGAGGAAAACTACTCAAATAATTAGCTGAATTCGAGACCTCAATTAAAAAATTAAAATGAAACAAAGTTTTATTGATTCTGATTCAAAGCTTTGATGAAAAAAATTGGATCATAGCGCAAAACTTTGCTGGAACAATTATAGCAGTTTAAATCAAGCATCGGTGGTTCAGTGGTAGAATTTTCTCCTGCCACGCGATAAACCCGGATTCGATTCCCGGCCGATACATAGCAGAAAAAAATTCCCAGGAGAGAACAGTCTTAAGCGTTTGTAACTTATTAATGTTCTACTGTCAAAAAAGAGGAAAACTACTAAAATAAATAGCTTTTGATTCAAAAACTTGGTGAAAAAATGAAATCAAGAGCAAAAAATTTTCTCAAACGATTTAAACAGACAAAAATCAAGCATCGTTGGTTCAGTCGTAGAATTTTCTCCTGCCAAGCGACAGACCCGGGTTCGATTCCCGGCCGGTGCAAAGCTGGAAATCAGAAAAATTTTCCTAGAAAAGCGCAAAATTAAATTTTTTAATCTTCCTACTGTTCCACTGTCAAAAAAGAGGCGAACTAACAAATAGCTGACTTTTACAACTCAAAAAAATAAGTCATACAGGGTTTTAATTCGAAAAATTGGGAAAAATTTGAATTGAAGAGCAAACTTTATGTTCAAACGGTGAACAGTTTAATTCAAGCATCGGTGGGTTAGTGGAAGAATTGTCGCCTGCCTAGCAATATACCCGTTTTCGATTCTCGGCCGATGCAGCGCAGATAGTTTTCCTAGAAAAGCGCTATCTTAAATTTTTGTAACTTCCCACTGTTCCATTTTCAAATAAGACGAAAAAACCTCAAAAAATAGCTGAATTTTAAATCTCAAATGAAACGAAACATTCATGATTTTGATTCAAAGCTTTAATGAAAAAATTGGAAGGAAGAGCAAAACTTTGTTGGATCAATTAAAACAGTTTAAATCAAGCATCGGTGGTTCAGTGGTAGAATTGTCGCCTGCCACGCGATAGACCCGGGTTCGATTCCCGGCCGATGCATAGCAGAAAAAATTTCCTAGGAAAGAGCAGTCTTAAGTTTTTGTTACTTATTAATATTCTACTGTCAAAAAAGAGGAAAACTACTCAAATAAATAGCCGTATTTTAAAACCCAAATGCGATGAATCATTCATGATTTTGATTCGAAAATTTGGTGAAAAAATGAAATCAAGACAAAAGTTTTTCTCAAACGATTTAAACAGACAAATATCAAGCATCGGTGGTTCAGTCGTAGAATTTTCTCCTGCCAAGCGACAGACCCGGTTTCGATTCCCGGCCGGTGCAAAGCAGGAAAGCAGAAAAATTTTCCTAGAAAAGCGCAATCTTATTTTTTTGTGATTTCCCACTGTTCCATTTTCAAATAAGACGAAAAAAAACTTTAAAAAAATAGCTGAATTTTAAATCTCAAATGAAACGAAACATTCATGATTTTGATTCAAAGCTTTAATGAAAAAAATGAAAGGAAGAGCAAAACTTTGTTGGAACAATTAAAACAGTTTAAATCAAGCATCGGTGGTTCAGTGGTAGAATTGACGCCTGCAACGCGATAGACCCGGGTTCGATTCCCGGCAGATGCATAGCAGAAAAAATTTCCTAGGAAAGAGCAGTCTTAACCTTTTGTAACTTATTATTGTTCCACTGTCAAAAAAGAAAACTACCCAAATGAATAGCTGAAGTTCAAAACTCAAATGAAATGAATCATTCATGA